GAGATGGCTGTTTTTCTAAATCATTTCATCCATTTTTGTATCTGGTCACAGAGAGCAATTGCTATACTTCTCCATTTATACACCCTATTATTGCCTTCTCAATCTCCCTGGATTCTCCAATTTCTTGCATTTTCTTTTGGGTAAACTATGGATGATTGATTTTTATATAAATATTTTCTTGCCCCTTTGGAATATGTAGAGTAAAAACATTATTGCAGGAAAATGGCCCTCATGGTAACATTATTTATCTGTGCAAGTTATTGATGCATAAGAAGGGACATTGTGACGTTAAGGGTGCATTTTGGATGAAGAATTTGGAAATAAAAAAAATTAAAATGTATCAATTTAAAATGCTTAGTAATTATAATTGTATTGTTTTGATAAATAATTTTTAGAAAGAAATGTTTAATGTTAGAATTTGTTGAGATAAAAAATTAAATTATAATAGAGAAATAATGATATAGACATGTAATAAGAAGAATATCGAAAAAATTGTAATATTATTATCATTAGATTGGTAAAAATGTATAAATATTACTAATAACGTGAAAAAAAAAATAATTGAATTTTGAAATAAATTTTTTAGTTAGAGTAGTAAAAAAATAAAAGTTGCCTAAAAATTAAACATAATAAATATTGTTATTAAAAATCAAGGAATTTTGCGAATTTCATCTCATTAAATGAAATTTGGAAAGAAAATTTGAGCATTTTAAATATTTTATCTTAAATTTCGAAAATTTAAAATTTATTTTGCTAAATAAAGTAATTTTATTTAAAAATTTTAAAAGATTTTTTTAATATAAGCAGGAATATCCTAAGTTTTATTTGGATATAATCCTTTATTCGATCAATTTGATATATTTAAGATTTTATTTTTTGAGTGTTTTTTACGAGATTGATAATGAAAGAAAATTTTTTCTGAGCTAACTTTTATGAATAATTTTAAAAATTTTTCTACAAATAAATATTTTTTTTGAAATGTCTCGTACGCATCCTAAACATATTTTCCGTGGAGCTAACGTACGGATTGGTTTGTTTTGAATGCAAATTACCTTCATTTTGGTTTATCGAAGTTTGAATCCTTACTAAGAAAATTTTTTTCAATAGGGGTCAGTGGAGACATATAGGTCAAGTCTTTCTTTAGTTTTTTGGGACTTGACTCAACCTTCAACAACACCCATTCTTGAGTCAGAGTTGAGTGATTCATGGGTCAGTTGGGCGACTTGATTTTGGAGATGCAACAAGAAGTTCAATTTGAAAATTATTGATATTGAAAGGCCATGTAGAAGTGATCAAATTATATGGAAGTTCCAAGAAATGATCATCTATTGGCTATAAAAACTTTGAGCTTTTGGCCTAATAGTGCACCCATCTCCTGGTTTCCTAAAAAATTAAGGTTTCTTACATTACTTGAAGTCTTTTTGTAGAAACCCTTTATGCTGTCGAAATGCCATTTTAAGTCGATTCTAAAACGAAAGCAAACGTCATGGGAAAAAGCCACCATCAATGAATTTTCATATTAGGGCTTAATGACATATTTGCTTTTGTCTTCTACGAAAATTTTTCAACATGATATCACAATTTTAAAAATATATAATATGATACAAATATTATTCTTTTTTTTTTATATATATATATACATGATATTTACTGATCAAAATTTCATTAAAAAAAATTTTTAACGAACATTGATATAACGTATATTATTAGTTTATATATAAATAGATGAAGGTTTTGATATATGAATTTTGCTAATTAATATTTTAAAGGCACCGTTTAAGATTACAAAGTATTCTTTATCCAATGCAATGAAACAATCATATTATATAATTATCAATTACTACATTTAATACAAAGAAGTTGCTATATATATATATATCAAGTAAAACTTAAAGAGTGGTCGAAAAATAATTGTTACAAAAACTCTTCATATGTAACAAGTTTATATGCTAAGTACGTGTATGTTCATTTAATTAATTAGATTAACTTAATATTTTAAGTAATATTCACTTTTCTAGTAATAAACTGCTTAATAAAATTTTAATTCCATTAATTATTATTATTGATGTACACAATAGAAATCCTCCTTAGGTTCATTATTTGATCTTCGAGTTTAAAAATAAAACAGTAAAATTTTTTTTTCAAAGTAATCTATGATGTTCTATGTCACTTGTAATACAATGGAAATTGCTAGGCTGACTAATGGCCGAGGGGCAAGCCACCATGTTAATAGACACTCGGTCCCTTACAAATTAAGCCATCAAGCAATCATCACATTCGATGAATAACATGTTTCTCTTATTGTCATATCTTTTCATGATCTATAACAAAAAAGTAGACCTGTTTTGGTGTAAAAGGTTCATGAAAGTAGTAAACAAACAAATCAATCCAAGCTCACTTGTTGAGGCGATTTTTTGTCTTCCCATTTCCCAAATCATTGCTTTCAGTCAAATTCTATAAGGTCTAGGTTGTCAGGGAACACAAGTTCAGATATGGCTGCGGTACTCTTGGCAGAGGCTAACCATGATGAAGAAGAAGAAGAAGAAAGTTGCTGTTGGAGTAAAGTTTTGGACATGGAAGAAAGCAAGAACCAAATTTACTTTTCGCTTCCTATGATCTTAACTAATGTTTTCTACTTCTCCATCACTTTGGTTTCTGTCATGTTTGCTGGTCACCTTGGAGACCTTGAGCTTGCCGGCGCCACCCTTGCTAATTCTTGGGCCACCGTTACCGGCTTCGCTTTCATGGTAACTTGATTAATTTTTCCTCTTCTTTATCTCTTTGTGGCTATTATTATTCAATCCAGGATTAGATTTTGTTTCAATGTGTGTTCATTTTCAATAAGGTGTGCCGTTCTAATCTTGTCTTCGTTTTTGTTTCCTTTTAACTTTTTATCTTTATTAGCTATACATCACTGTTTCACTGTACGTCTAAATTTTTAATAATATGCAAGATAAATTTAATAAATTAGTAAGTATAATTTAATTTTTAATTTTTAATAGAATTATTAAAAATTTATCAACTAATTTATGGATAATATATTCATTTCATTGGCATAACTTGTATAAGAAATCAAATACAAATTTATTCTTTTAAATTTATTTTTTCAAACATAGCTAAAAATATTAAAATAGACATAAAGGAAAAAAAAACTAAAAAAAAAAAAAACAGAAAGGTCCAAAAAAAAAAAGAAAAAACAAATGAAGATGCCGTGTAAACACCTTTATTTAGGGATGGTAATGGGTTGAGTAAAGACGGGTTTTAATTTACTCTTCTCAATTTTAACACAACATTAGATTATTTTTTTTATACTAGACCCAACATATATTATATATATGTATGTATGTATGTATGTATGTATAACTTGCATCTAACCTAACTTGACCCAAAATCAATCACATAGCATAATATTCATAAAAATATTATTTTTATTATAAATGACATTTTAATTATATATAATATAGATAAGGTATGTTATTAAATTAAAATATTAAATAATAATTTTATTAATATAATAAATATATACATATAAAATTAAATAAATAATAAAAAATATATTCTTATATATATCTTAGGAGAGGGTGGGTGGAGCATCCTTAACCTAGCTCCGATTCAATTTCGAATTTTGAAGAAGAAAACCATCCTGCCCCGACATGATATCAATTAAAAAAATCCTCTTTATTAAAAAAAAAATGCTAACATGTTGATCGAAACTTATAAGATATGAATTGTTTTATCATTTTTATCTTTATTAACTTTTCTTTACAAAACTTATTTAATATAAAATAATAAAAAATAAAAAATAAAAGAAATGAAAAAAAGCCAAATGACATGCTACATGTTTTTATTAAATTAAGATATTAAATAATAATTTTATTAATAAAATAAATATATAAATATAATAAATAGTAAAATATATTTTTATATATACTAGAGGCAAGGCGGAATATTTTAAATCCACTTTTGACATGATCCCGATTTAAAAAAAAAAAAATTGACTTGATATTGAATTAAAAAATACACCTATTAGATTGAGACAAATTAAAACCCATCAAGCACTGGTTGTTTTATTATCCCTACCTTTATTTATATATTTTTTTACAAAATTTATCAAATAAAAAAATTAAAATATAAAAAAAAAGAAAAAAATTAAATAAAAAAATAAAAACTTAAATTTCTCTAAAAAATTTAAAACTTTTATTGCATGTTCATTGTTATCATTATATTTGCATTCAAATATATATTTTCATCATTGATTGTAATTTAACTATTACATTATTCAATTTTGTTGTTATGATAACTAATTTCATTGTTATTTGTTGTTTTAAATCTTACCATCAATCTAAATTAACACTAAATAAAAAATATAAAATTTTTGTCTTTCAAGTTTGTACTTTGTTTTGCTTTTATTTTATTTCAGTCCATTTAGAACCACCATTGATTAAAGTGTACTAGTACTATTATTCTTTTTTTGCTTTATCAATTCAAGGCTCGATTCAACGCTAGAGGTAGCTGAATCGTTTAAAGTAAATAATATACATTCATACATATATGAAGTAATGCAATGTGATTAATATGAATGACTTATACCAAATAAAAACATTTTTAATTTAGATGATCCATCTTGTCTCATCCTATTTTTGTCTTCATAATTGGAATCACTTTCAAGATTATAAGGGGAAACCATTAGTGCATGTTGGCAATAAATTCTGAATATATATGATCTTTATTCATGAGTCTTTACCAATATATATAGATGATATAAAATAATTTCCATATGACACTTCCTTTTTGTTCCAAGTGAAGACAGAAAGTCTTTCACTTACCTCAAGTACTTCCAAAACACTTTAATTTCCTAACAAATGCTCATAAAAAAATGTAAATCTCTAAGTTGTTGGTTCAAAAGTTCATTACCCATAATTTGTTTTAACCTTTTGGTTGAGAAAATGTATTGGATAAAGTTCAAAAAACATTTTACCACTAAAAAAAAGTTCGCAACCGTTTCATAAGTTTTTAGGCTACTGACTACAATTTCGTTGATATAATTTCAGTAGCTTGACACTTTGCGTTAATAAGATTTGCCTTTTGGCCCAATTGGTCGATTGACCTTCATTTTGACAATTAGAGTGTGCAATGGGTTAGTCATTTTGGTTTCCTTGACAATTAGAGTGTGCAATGGGACAAAAAATTATAAAATGTAATGAACAACCATTCATATCCGGTGGAAAGAGTGTAGGATTTCAAACTACAATAATGGAAAGTAGTTTGAACGTAGAGGTTGGTGATGGCTGTAGAGAAGGAACCAAGGGAAGGTGGTGGGGAAATGTTTTGGATTTTGGAGAGGCTAAGAAGCAAGTATCGTTTGCAGTGCCAATGGTGTTATCTTATGTTTTCTACTTATCCATTACTATGGTTTCTGTCATGTTTGCTGGCCACCTTGGTGAGCTTGAGCTTGCTGGTTCAACTCTTGCCAATTCATGGGCCACTGTGACTGGTTTTGCTTTCATGGTAACTCCCAATATTATCTCTTAATTTCTCACTTTTATGTTATTATTAAATTAATCTAAGAAGCATCTAAGATATATATAATAACTTCAAGGTGATTTTGAGTTTTAAAGTCCAAAAAAATATGTTGATTCTTGTCTTTTACTCCTCGAAAATCGAGAGGAATGAGATAAAAGAAATGTTTTGGATAGCAGCAATTCATCAATCTAGGTAAAATTTTTTTTACTTGAGGCTATTATGACTTGAAAATGATTTGAATCTTAATCATTACAACTAAGATTTATCAACAGGTTATGCGGCTGTCAGCATCCTTTTGTTTGAATCTTGCAATATTCATTTATCTAATCTGTTTCCAATTCATCTTTCCTGAATTAATTTATTTTTTTCTTGCAGACGGGAATTTTGCCATCTGATTTTGTAGTCTTTCTTCTCTGTTGTTTTAGACAGGACTAAGTGGAGCACTGGAGACCCTCTGTGGTCAAGGATTTGGTGCAAAAATGTACAGAATGTTGGGGATTTATCTACAAGCATCCTGCATCATTTCTTTCATATTTTCTGTCATCATATCAATCTTATGGTTCTATACCGAGCCGATCCTTGTCTTACTTCATCAAGATCCTGAAATTTCAAGAACTGCTGCCCTTTACATGAAGTATCTCATTCCAGGTTTATTTGCATATGGCTTTGTGCAAAACATTTTGAGGTTTCTTCAAACACAAAGTGTTGTTATACCCTTGGTCCTGTTCTCTGTCATTCCATTGGCCATTCATTTTGGGATTGTGTACTCTTTGGTAAATCGGACAAGTCTTGGTTTCAAAGGAGCTCCCTTGGCGGCTTCAATCTCAATATGGATATCATTTCTTCTCTTAGCAATCTATGTCATTTTCGCGAAGAAATTTGAGAACACATGGAAAGGATTGTCTTTTGAATCATTTCACTACATCCTCAAAAACTTGAAATTAGCCCTTCCCTCTGCGGCAATGGTTTGGTGAGTTTCCATTTTTGATTTGTTTTTTCCTTTAACCTGAAGAGCAAGGCTTATCATCATCTTTCTTAAGTTCAATTAATGTGCTGCTAGTTTGGAATTCTGGGCTTTTGAGATTCTGGTGTTCTTGGCTGGATTGATGCCAAATTCAGAAATAACTACTTCATTGATTGCAATATGGTAGGCTGCTCTCTTTTCCTTTTTTTCCATCATAAAATTCCCTATACATTTTTTTGGTGTTTGAGGTTACCAAAGATTGAACTCTGATTGCTGGAACCAAAAGTTTAGCACTCAGACCACACTATTGTTGACAAATTTTTTACCAAGTCTGATTATGGTGGATTTTGTTTTAACCCTGGTACGATCTTCAGTGTCAATACAGAAAACATTGCCTACATGATCACATATGGCCTAAGTGCTGCAGCAAGGTTAGTTTTCTTGTATGGGGTATCAACCTCTTAATTCCCCTGCCTTCAATATTGTTCTAAAATATATTGAGATAAGAGAGAAAACAAAACTTTTTCCACAGCACAAGAGTGTCTAATGAATTGGGAGCTGGAAATCCAAACCGCGCTAAGCATGCCATGGGAGTGACTCTCAAGCTCTCTATCCTTCTTGCTCTTCCAGTTGTCCTAACTTTAGCCTTCGGACATGATGTTTGGGCTGGTTTCTTCAGTGATAGCCCTTCAATAATCAAGAAATTTTCAGAAATGACACCCTTGCTCGCAGTCTCAATAGCGATTGATGCCATACAAGGCGTCTTATCAGGTTTCAAAACCATCAGAATTTTTTGTTTTGATTCTGTTGTGATAGCAATATTGATGAATATGTAGAGGTGGCAAATAAGCTTTTGGTTATTTTGAGTTTTAAATCATTTTAAATTTGTATTTTTTATATTTGAACTTTTGACTTTAACTTTTAAGTCAAATAAGGAACTTTTTTACAGCGGATTTTTGAGTTCGGGGTTCATTTTGTCACATCTATAACAATATATAAGAATACAATATTTAGAGATTAGTGAATTTGATGTTGCAGCGGTGGCCAGGGGATGTGGTTGGCAACACTTGGCTGTGTGGGCTAATTTGGTGACTTTCTACTTCATTGGCATGCCAATTGCAGGTGTTCTTGGATTCAAGTTTAAACTATATGCTAAGGTGAGGAAAATAGCTGAATCAGTAGAATATACATATCCGCAAGTTTTATTTTTTTTTTTATTTTAAATTTTGTCAACGTTTCGTCCCACTAATTATCCCTTATTACCATATTTTCAGGGTTTATGGATAGGCTTAATATGTGGTCTTTCCTGTCAAGCCGCCACCCTTACGTTCATTACATTGCACCGAAAATGGATCAAAATTGATCTTTCAGGAGAAAACAAGAATACCCCAATTTCTGTTTAACTTAATATAGTTATTTAAGCAGAGAAAAAAACCAAAGCGAGCAGAGGAATATTTTTTTTATTTGGGGAAGTTGAGTTTCGAACTCATTTAAAAAAATATAAGATCATATATTAATCATTAAATCAAATATTCGAATGTAATTATAATTTTAGTTTATGATATATAATCATAAGGTTTATCATTTTTTTTCATTTTTTTGTTTAATTTAGAGACATTGATGCAATTATACAATATCAAAGATAATGTTTTTTTTTAATGGTTATTAAGATTTGAATTTGATAATAATATTATCTGAATGATCTTTTTACTTTTTTTTTGGTATGAAAGGTATCTTGGACAATCTGGCATAAACGCAATAGTGAAAAATGAAAAATGGCAATTGGAATTTTACTGAATTATTTTGCTTGCAAGGTAATAGAATATTTTTCAGATTTTTAAAATGAGAAATGAATTTTTTTTTGATTACATCAAGAGGATAAAATCTTAGTATAAGTAAAAAGGAAAGAAGAGGCCTCGTTCGAAACCAGGTCTTTGATGTCCTTTTAAACGCCTTTAACTACTATACTAAAAGCTTGAGAATATAAAAAAAAGTTACTTCCAATTAAATAATTCAATATCACGTGTCAAAAAAAATTTTGATAGTTAGAAATAATGAGCTGATTTTTTTTTAATTGAAATGAGCTGGTAATTATTAAAAAAAAAAAAAAAGAGCTAGTGTTAAAATGATGGTCAAATAAAAGATATGAAATTATGTCAATTTAATGGCATAAAATAAAAATAATCTTTCATTTAACCTTGAATCTCTTATTTTATTCATGAAATCATGAATTAAATATCTGATTTTTCAATTGAGTCCATAAAAGGAGAGAAAATCAGGCTGGACATTATTCATCTTTAATAAGTCACTTAATAGTTGTTAGTTGTTACCATATTTAGAGTCAAACAATAAAACTCAATAGTACATGACTGTCATTAATCCTTTAAATTTTGGAAGGCCAAGCTGAGCATTTCATATTACCCATTAGGAATGCTAACCAATAATTTGCTTTAAAAACAGGGTTAATAGAAGGATGCAGAAATTAAGCATACTTATATTAAACATTTATTAGCTAATTGAAACCTATTTTGTCCTTATCAATTTTGTCTGATTTGGTGTCAAAATACCAAAAAATCTAAATAATAATAAAATTTTATTATGCCTTACAAACTCTTAAATGTGTTCAATAATTTAAATAATTTTAAATATATCATTTATTGATAGAATGCTAAATTTTTAGTTTCAATGATCATTGTTTAAATTTTGGTTATTTTTAAGTGTAAAAAATTAATTTATTTATAATAATAGCTACCAATTAATGATAATTTTTTTGTAAACCCAAAATAAGTAAGACAAAAAGAAGTATTTTGCCAATGAAAAAATAATGAACCGAGAGTGGCAAATATGATGGATATAAGTTTTTCAACAAGAAATGTAGAGAATTTAATTCTTTTTTTTTTCAAAAGAGAAATGAATGATGAGTATGAACTAATTAATTGCATTTCCATTTACCAATCACAACCCCCTTAACCAATGCTATAGTTTTTTATTTAAAAAAAAAATATTCATATATCAAGTCAAATGTCAATGGTATGATTAATTTTATAAGTCACAAATTATGAAAAAGTAAAAGAAAAAAAATCATAGAACTTTTTAAGAATAAACCAAAACTATAAAAGGACAAGCAAAATTATAACATAATAAAAGGCAAATATAAAACTTCAATCTCAAATATATTCATTAAACATAAAAAATAGAAAAAAAAAAAAAACAAAGTGAATAATCTAAATATAATGCAATAATATAAATAATTAAAATTTTTAAAAAAATCAAGTTGAAAAATTCTCATATCAAAAGATAAATTTCTAAACCTCCACTAAATTATTCAATATTTCTAAAAACCACCCAAAAAAAAGTTTCTTATTTATCCAAAAAAAAAAAAAAATCCTCCCACAAAGCTATCAATTACCATGTACCAAACAACACCATACTCAACAAGACGCTAGCTGCTAACACCATTACACTTGAATAAGTTGCAGTGTTAGATGACTTGGAAGGCGCCGGAGCAGGCGAGTACTCGTCGGCCGGAGTGCCTGTTTGGCTTCCAGATGGTGTCTGAGAACCTGTTGGTGATGGAGAACCAGATGGAGAAGAAGTAGACTGTGGTGGAGCTAGTGGGGTTGAAGTTGGTACCTGAACAGGGACATTGGCAGGAAATGGAGTTGAAGCTTGGGGTGATGTCGAATATGGAGATGGAGAAATGTGTGGGGATGAAGATGGTGTTGTGGAATTGGGACACAAAGCTGGAGATGGAGATGACGTTTTAGGAGGATGTGCAATGGGGTTATGAGCCATTGGAGAGTGTGATGGTCCTGAAGATGGAGAATGATGTGTAGATGGTGCTGGTGCTTGTTTCGGAGTTGATACTTGAGGAGGATTTGCAACAGGGCCATGAGGCGTGGGTGAGAGTGTTGGCCCTGAAGATGGTGCTGGCGATTGAGATGATTCTTTAGGAGGTTCAACAATAGGGATTGGAGATGTAGGAGCCAGAACTGGCACTGGAGATGATGCTTTGGGAGGATTTACAACAGGGCCATGATGCCTGGGAGAGTTTGCTGGCCCTGGAGATGAGGCTTTGGGAGGATTTGCAACAGGACCATGATGCTTGGGAGACTGTGCTGGCCCTGGAGATGACGCTTTGGGAGGATTTGCAACAGGGCCGTGATGCTTGGGAGAGTGAGCTGGCCCTGGAGAAGATGCCTTGGGCGGTTCTGCAACGGGGCCGTGATGCTTGGGAGAGTATGCTGGCCCTGGCCCTGGAGACGATGCTTTGGGTGGTTCTGCAACGGGGCCATGATGCTTGGGAGAGTGTGCTGGCCCTGGCCCTGGAGACGATGGAGACGATACTTTGGGTGGTTCTGCAACAGGGCCATGATGCTTGTGTGAGTGTGCTGGCCCTGGAGACGATACTTTGGGTGGTTCAGCAACAGGGCCATGATATTTGGGAGAGTGTGCTGGCCTTGGAGATGGAAATGGTGATTTTGCTGGAGGCTCGATTACTGGAAAATGGGACTGAGGAGGAGCTGCTTTGGGGGGATGAGTTGATGGGGACCATGGGGTTCCATTCCTCTCAGCCATAACAACAGCGATCAGTTTCTGCCCCTTTTGGCAATGACCCTCGTTGCCACTGATGAAAAAGAAGGGACCAGAGTGATGAAAATGAAGCATAGAACTTCCACTTGTCATTTTCTTTATAGGGTTCTTTATGTTGCAATTGAAGTAATCATATTTATGTACCAACAAAACCGAGTCTGATCCTTTCTCATATTTGAAAACTGCCCATACCAGAAACATAATCCATATACCAAAATCAAATCAAGAAACAATTGAACATAAAAATAGTTATGAAAACTACATTGTCAAAATATTGAATCAAAGCAATCAGAAAACGAAAGACTTACAAAGGGTGTCATTGACTTGAAACCTTTGTCTACCAGCCCATTCATTGTAAGTGACTTCAGGCTGCAAAACCCAGCCATCTTTACCACCAACAAAGAAGATTCTGACCGCATCAGAGAAAGAAAGAAGACAAGCAAGGAAGACTAAGAAAAGGCAGAGAGATTTCTGAGGTTTCATATTGAGAGATTACAGACAAATATGATTTGTGTTATGAATATGCCTTCATATATAGGCAAAGAAACAATATGCGAAGAAGCTCCCAAGACAGCTCTCTCAAACAAAAAATTCTCGATTATGGAAGTAAAAGATTCTCGGGATTTCGATTGATGCGAAAAAGTAGTGAAAAACTAAGACTAAATTGCTAATAATCTGCTGAAGAAAGGAAGAGTAATTTAGGTAGGAATAGTATATGGTACGTGTTTTTATGAACTCTGTTAAAATCAAAGTTTAAAATTTTGTCGTTGCAAAACAATAGTTGGAATCGAACTGTACTTTTAGAATTTAATGCAGGAGGGCGAAGTATGGTATGATTTGGAATCTAACAAAATTAAGGTGTTATATTTCAATTTAGAACTAGAATTTGATATATTATCAATACAATTTTTTAATTTTATCAAAAAAATTAAGAAATTAACACGTGTTTTATTTTTTAATTAATTTTTTAAACATACATGGAGAATATATGTAACCCTAGTAATCCATAAAATATAAAGACTACAATATAGTATATGAAATAATTTTCCTTTAATTTAATTATTTTTTATCATCCAAAATCAATTTATGAGCCTTACCAGTGGCCAACTCAGCAGTCGCAAGTTTAGCTTGACTGCACGCAGATGATGCATGAGTGGGCCACGGATACACTGGGATGGATTAATTGTTACTGAAGCATGAGCAGGCTTTGGCCCCTCTAAAAGTTTTGACAACACTCAGCATATATATAAATATATATTAAATAAGTTTAATTTGAATTGTTGATCTTTTCTAAATTAAAATTATTAATTTTATTTATTAATTTTTATTTTATAATTTAATTTCATATAAATTTTTATTAAGTAATAAAGAATTTCATAATTTAATTTTATACATTGCAACTTAGGAGAGGTTAAAATCATATTGTTATTTCTTTATTTGTTATACTCACTAATTATTATTTATAAATCTTCAAATTAAGAGATTTATTAGAAATTTTAAATCATAAATATGTGAACTTAACAAAACTTAAATTAATTTTTTAACTTTTTAATCAAGAATTCAAATTTTCAACAAAGTGCCAAAAATGTTTTTTTTTCTCCTTTCTTTATAAATTACTACAATTTCTCCTCTTTATTTCTTGTTGTTCTACAATTTTTGTCAACAAAAAAAATTAATACCACTTAATAGAAGATTTGATTGTAACTTTGAAACTCAAAGTTTCCACTTTATTATTTAAAAAGTACATTTATTTTTCTTGTTTTGATAAAAAATATTATTTAATAATTGATTTATTTATATTTTTAATTTTACTTTTAAATTATCAAAAGTATAAAAAATTTTAATAATTCATTGAAAGATTGTGTAATTAGCAATTCTACTATTAATTTGAAAGTATTTATACTCTTTAAAATTGACATAATAATATTGTTATTTTATAATTTTATGAGCTTGTTTTTTTTTTTTTTATTATTAGTATATTGCTTATCTCTCTCTCTCTCTCTCTCTCTATATATATATATATATATATATATGATATGTCTTATGAAAAATAAAATAAAATATAGTATTAATTGATCCCAAAATCAAATATTTAGATATGCTACTCCCTAAAAAAAGGACTGGGTCAATAAAAGAAAAGTTAAGAGTCCGACAGGCTTTAATGCTGAAATCAACCCTTAAAATTATATTATTTTGCTCTAAAATCGGAATTGAGGAGCATTGCTATAGAAAGTAGGATGTTCATAATTTAATTTTAATAAAATTAATTAATTGAATTTATTTAATTCAATTAATCGATCTATTATTGAATCAGTTTTGATTTATTATCAAAAATAATTTTGAAACAATTTTAATTTTTGATTAATTCAATTATTAAATTGAATTAATCAAGATTTTAATAAAAATATAAAAAATTTAAGCATAAAATCAAAATATTAAAAAAACAAATCATTTCATTTTATAAGTTATTAGAATTTTAACTTAAAACTTTGATATTTGAATATTTTGTTAGATAATTTTATTTAGTTTGTTTCAAATATGAAAAATTAGGAATTTAAAATATAATATAACTTAAATATATTTTATTATTTAGTTAATTTGAAATTAACTGAAATAAATTTAGTTGATTAAATTTTTAAAATTGATAAATTTAATTCGATTAATTAAAATAAAATAACATAATTTAATTAATTTAATTTGAAATTAACGAATGAATATCTCTAGTAAGAACTGGTTCCATAATAATATCTTCTACTTCTTGTGGATATAAGCCTGAAAATAGAAAACGAAAACCCTTTTACATGCTTTGTGTATAGAAATGTTCATCACATAATTATCTCTTACATCGTTCGTCACATAATATGTCTTTTATTGATTTTTAGGATCATACAAAAGGAATTATTTTTAATTATGTGAAATTAGAGCCTACAAAAAAGACTGTTGTTTAATTTCTTTCTTTTCTTTTCACATTTGTTTTCTGAAATTTCCTTTTAAATTTTTTTATTTCTCAATGTTTGTTTTCTGCCCTCTTGAATATTTTTTTAATACGAAAATCAAACTCCAAAAGGAAATCTCTTTATACAAAAACCAAACTGCAAGACTCTCCTAGGTCTCTACGAGTTTCTCTCTAGGGGTCTGGTGAGAGTGTCAATCTCGTCGGAAGTTTGGTACAAGGTTGTCTGTCCTAGATTTGCGCAGAGAGCTTAGGGGTGAGTCTCGTTATCGTTTCTGTAGGGAAAGGGTGTAGTGTTACTGATAGCTGATGGCGGAGGAACTAGAGGACTTATGGGCAACGTTTTCATTGACGGAAGGGAGAGAAAAGCGAAGTTGTAATGAGATAGGGTGGATTGAGTCCACTGAAGCTGAGGAGAAGGCTTGCCTCATGGGGAAGATTATGACCGGAAAAGGGGTGAACATGGAGGCTATGAAAATGGTTCTTCATAGAGTGTGGAAACTGTCTAAAGGATTGCAGATAAGGGAGGCTGGGGACAAACTGTTCCTTTTTCATTTCGTAGATAAGTTAGAGAAAAATAGGGTGTTGATGACGCAGCCTTGGACGTTTAACAAATCGTTACTTGTGATATAAGAGTTTGAAGGTTCAGTGCCAGCCGAGGCTATAGACATGAACTGGTGCCCCTTTTGGATCCAACTGTACGGATTGCCCCTGAATATGATGAATAAACAGGTTGGTATGGTTTTAGGTGAATCAATGGGAGATGTAGAAGAAGTGGAGGCAGGCAGAAGGGGATGATATTGCATGGGGAAAATTTTTGAGGATTAGGGTTAATTTAAATGTTAATACTCCTTTGAAGAGAGGGACAAGGTTGCAGTGACAGATGATGGAAAGGTTCTAGTTATGTTCAAATATGAACAACTACCAAATTTTTGCTATGTGTGTGGTAAATTTGACCATCAAGAAAATGAATGTAACACTGCGGGATGATGAAAAGCAGGAGGGGGCCAGTGAGGAAAGAATATGGAAGGTGGTTATGTGCAGAGACTCCGAGGATATGAAAGGATCAGAAACAAGTGATGGCAGTGCAAATTCTTCTTCTGGTTCACAAAGGCATGATCATGCCCATGAAACTGCTAAGCCAACAGTAGAAGCAGTCAAGGGTGGTACAACTGGAAACAGCCCCTGTCGGGTTAGGGTTCCTGCATAAAAAAAAAAAAAACACGTGGCAGAAATGAGAGAAGTGAACCGAATGTTGGAGAGAGGAACCAGTGTCCTGCCGAGATTGAAGCCACTAATGGGGTATTGGATTGTGACGGAACAGTGAATGGGGAAGCTAAATTTTCGCCAAAATTAAATTTGTCAGCGGGGTAGAAAACGGTGGAGAATATTGGAGGACCATAGTGCTTATTCAAGGGGTGAACAATGATGGGCTAAATGGGAGCAGAGATAGCAGTGGGCTAGAGGGAAATGCTATTGGGCCAAGCCTCACGAGAGTCCATAAAAAATGGAAAAGGGCCGCAAGGGACATTAGAAAGGGAACTAACACAGAGTCTATGCTGGAAACTATATGTCTAAATGGAAATAGGAAACGGGGTTCTACCAGCTATGTTAGAGAGGGCGATGAGACTAAAACAGCCACAAAGAAGATTTTCTGTAATATGGAGATCGAGGGAAATAGTGACATTGAAGAAACAACGGCGGAGGATGGCTTGGGTGACCAGTCTTATTGACAATAATGAATCTCTTAGTATGGAACTGCCGAGGGTTGGGGGTTCAAAAAAAAAAAAATGAAAGTTGGATATGGTATAGAAGATTAGGACATGCAAACATGCATGTGATTTCAAAATTTTCTCAAAATGATTTAGTAGTTGGTTTACCAAAATTGAAATTTGAAAATGTTAATGTTTGTGATGCATGTGCTCAAAGAAAATATAAAAAAAAAGTTTCTTTTAAACCTAAAAATTATGTTTCAACTACTAGATTAGTTCAATTGCTTTGCATTAACCTTTTTGATCCTATTAAGACAATAAGCCTTGCAGGTAAACAATATGAGTTTGTTATTATTAATAATTTCACTAGATATACATGAGTTTTTTTCTTGCATTTTAAGAATGAAACTTTAGAAAAATTAATCACTTTTGACAAATAAATACAAAATGAAAAAGAATATTCAAATTTTAGTATTAGAAGTAATCATGGAAGAGAGTTTGAAAATCTTCGTTTTAATGAATTTTGTAGTAAAAATGGTATTAACCATAATTTTTTCGCTTTTAGAAATCTTTAACAAAATGGGATAGTAAAAAGGAAAAATAAAACTTTAGAAGAAATGGCTACAACCATTGTTTTGTGAAAATAATTTATCTAAATATTTTTTAGCAGAAGTCATAAATACTTCTAGTTATATCATAAATAGAATTATGATTAGACCAATTTTGAAAAAAATCCCATATGAACCTTTTAAAGGCAAAAGGCCTAATATAAGTTATTTTCACCTGTTTGGTTGTAAATACTTGTTTTGAAAAATGAAAAAGACAATATTGGAAAATTTAATGTGAAAAGTGATGAAG